ACCGCCCCCCCCCCCCGCCCCGTCCCGTGGCCAAAAAGAGCACTTGGGGAACCGGGGTGGTGCAGAGAGAGTGCCAACGCGGGCGAGGAAGGGCCCGCAGAGGAGAAGCGGAGGAGAGAGCACTCACGATGTTCGGCGTCCAGGCCAGACAGACAGAGCAGCCCGAGCAGGACCACGGCCACGGTGAGAGCCATTGCCACCACCCGAGTGAGAGGCGCAAAATGAGGGCGCGACCTCGCGTCTTGGCTTATATCCCCCGAGTGAACCGCCAATAGGAACCCTGCCCGTCACCAGTTTCCTAGCTGGAGGTGCTGGACCAGGTTAGGAAAGGGACTCGCATTTTCAGTTTCATTTTCCTATAAAGCCTCGTGATGTATGAAAGAAGGCATGGATTGGACGGGGCGGGTTCGCTGTCTGTAAAAGGGCGCCCTCCGATCGTGGGTGCGTCCCGAGCCTGGGACGCTGACCGCCCGTCCTCGAACTTGAGCCTGGACCGCACCTTTGTCCAGTGCCCTCGCTTTCCCAACCCAGCCCGAGATGCTGATCACTTGCTTACCGTTCGCAACCAGTAAGGAGCCTGGAACCTGATGGTGTTCATTTGAAAAAAAAAAAAAAAAAAAAAAAATGGAAGCCCAGAAAGATTCAGTGCGTGGCTAGAGGATGAACGGAGCCGGGCAGGACAAGAACTAGTGTTAATAATTACAGCCTGGAATACACATTGTAGGTTTCTGGATGTGCGGGGCGAGAAAGATAGCCCAGGGACCTCGAGGAGCTCAGAGAACTGTTCGGAGTGAAGGGGGCCCTCCTGGCCTCCTGAATCCTTTCCGGGAATAGTTTCTTTTTGTAAAGCTCCTTGCCAAGGAATTTTCTGTATCTTCCCCGTTGCTGTTTAGGTGATTGTTTTGTTGCTTTGTGGGGAAAACGACCACTGATAGTAACTACTTTGAACTTGAGAGTGTAACAGACCTCTTTAGGTGCCTTAGAATGGGGCTTGGCACGTGGTAAGTATCGGTAAACGGAATGAGTGAATGAACGAAGCAAAGAGGGAGCGAACACCTTAATAAACTCTAGGAAGTAGGAATTCCCTCATTCATTTTTATGGATGAGGGAAAACAGAGGCTAAGAGACTAGTATTCAGACTCTGGCCTGATTCCATTGGCCTTCATGCTTCCAACACTTAGAAGACAAAGGGCATGGCAATTTTAGTGAGAATTTAAATTGCTCCCAGCCAAAGAGGTTAAACCTACCCATTATAAGAGCAAGACTATTTTAGACAGATTCTTTAAGAAAACCTACCCTCCTGCGATCACATACAAAAAGATGCTGCCAGCAAATGGCTGCTGAGCCTTCATGCAACAGTGAGAAGAGGAAGTGAACCATGGGGGTGGGGAGGGGCAGAGACCTGGGAAATCACCACGGTTTTCAGTTGAAGGACGTTAGATTGTGCTTCCCCAAGGAGCACAACAAATGAATCCTAGATTTCATTCACAGAGTTTTAGACCTTTTAATAATCCCTATTGTGGAAGCCATGGCTAAACTACAGAAAGTCGAATATTCTCCACAAGCCTAATGAAATGAGTTAATACACAGAGAGCCTCACACGGTTCCTAACAAGTAACGAATATGTAAACTATTTAACAATTGTTTTGTGATTACTGTTGTTATTTACCTAGTTTTTCTACTATATTACTCTTGAAATTAGGAAAAAAATTTGTGTATAAAGTTGTAAGTAGTGACATTCCTGCCTCTCCCATTTGTTTGTATGTTTGTTTTCTAACTCATTTAGGTCTCTCAAGGCCTGAAATGTTCGTGTTGAATATTTTCCACTGACCTGGGAGTATAGGAAGAGACTGGGCCATTTTTCACCTCTAAAGTCCTTGTCTACTACATCACAGAGAAAAACTGTATTTATCAAAAATAGTTTCTGACCTACTTAATAAGAAGCCAATTTTAAAAGCAATAAAACCATATAGTGAAGACAAAGTATATTTTTCAATATTCTGTGTTTAGAGAATTCCTGTACTTTTCTTGGATTTCCATTTAGAACATATTTTGAATAGTGAGGGTGAAAAAGAGATATAAACTATTTTTAAAAAGACAAGAGCACCCAATGGGGGAAAAAAGGAGACATATGTACTACTATTTGTAATACTTTAAACAATAAAATAAAATTTAAAAAAAAACAAGAGCACAATGAGATATCACCTCACACCTGTCAGAATGGCTATCATAAAAAAATCAGCAAACAACAAGTGCTGGTGAAGATGTGAAGAAAAGGGAACAGCAATCCCACTTCTGAAAATATATCCTAGAAACCCCAAAACACCAATCAGAAAGAATATATGCACCCCTATGTTCATAGCAGCATTATTTACAATAGCTAAGATTTGGAAACAGCCCAAGTGCCCATCAGCAGATGAATGAATAAAAAAGGCTATGGAAATTTATACTATGGAATACTATGCAGCTGTAAAAAAGAGGGATCTCTTACCCTTTGAGACAGCATGGATGGACCTGGAAAATATTATGCTAAGTAAAATAAGCCAATATCATATGATCTCACTTATTTGTGGAATCTAATGAACAAAATGAATTGACCAACAAAATAAGACCTGAATCATGGAGGCATGGAACAGACTGACATACCTCAATGTGAGGATGGGGGGATGAGAAGAGATAAACCAAAGAATGTATATACTTACTTGAGGCCCGAAGCATGGATTCGTGCACCAATGGGGTCCCTCAGCCTGGTCTGTGCCCTCTTGCAATCCAGGACCCCTCGAGATGTCGGACTACTGGTTTCAGCCCAATACCTGCAGGCCAGGCTGAGGGACCCCACAGGTGCCCAATCCATGCACGCGGCCTCTAGTATGCATATAAGATCTTTGGTTAATCTCTTTCCGCCTTTCCCCCTTCCCTCTGAGATTCATCAGTCTGTTCCATGTTTCCATGCCTGTGCGTTGAGCGTCTGCCCCCTGGTGGTCAGTGCACATCATAGCTACCTGTCAAATGGTTGCTTCGGCTTTTATATATATGTAGACTAGAGGCCCGGTGCATGAAATTCGTGCATGGGTGGGGTCCCTCCACCTGGCTGGAGATCAAGGCCATCTCGCCCAGTCCCAATCGGGGCCAATCAGGGCCAATGGCCGAGGAGGGACCACAGGAGGGACCACGGGAGGGCTCCAGTGCATGTCTGGCCCCGTATCACCCAGTCCCGATCAGCCAGACTCCAGCAGCTAGCTAACCTACCAGTCAGAGCATCTGCCCCCTGGTGGTCAGTGCATGTCATAGTGACCAGTTGGTCAACTGCTCGGTTGGACACAGCATATTAGGCTTTTATATATATAGATTGTAACTCACGGTGTGGAATGCTCAGCATGCACTTTCCCTCCAGCCCCTGCTCTTGGAGACCTCATGTCCTTCCAAGGTTCTGCTCACCCTCTTCAGCTGCCACATGAAGTAAATTGCCTCATGTGTTTGGAAACCCTTTGCAGGCTCCATGGGTGTGTCTTTACTTTGCTGCAATTCTGATTACCCCTCATTATCAGGTAACACCATTGTGGTAAGACCCCTGCTCAGCCTACTGCAGTGGTTTTAAATAGGCCATGTGTTACCCTAGCTGGTTTGGTTCAGTGGATAGAGTCACAGCCTGTGGACTGAAGGGTCCTGGGTTCAATTCCAGTCAAGGGAATATTCCTGGGTTGCAGGCTCAATCCCCAATAGGGGGCATGTGGGAGGCAGCAGATAGATTCTCTCTCATCATTTATGTTTCTATCTCTCTGCCTTCCTCTCTGAAATCAATAAAAACATATTAATAAAAATAAATAGGCCATGAATCAAATGTAGCTGCTCTCCATCCATCCAGTCCCCTTACACCCTCTTATGTCTTCACCCCCCACCCCCACATACACACTCTGTTAAGGTTTATAAAATGGGTGATGCTTCCACATGGCCCTCCTTCCCCTCCCATCTCTGTCCCCAGTCCTGTGGGGTCTCTCCCTCCCTCCCCTCCATCTAACTTGGTGGGCCCTGCTCTGCCCCTTCCTCTTGCAACCTCCTGGCTGCAGCCTCCCCCTTTCTCCTCTGGGGATGGAGCTCCCCAAAGGCTGTGTGGGGCAGGGCCGTGTGGGGTGGGGCAGGGCTGTTCTGAGCAGGCTGGGCAGTGTGGGTGAGGCATTGCCCGGGGGGCTGTGCAGGCCACATGGCAGTGCCAGTGTGGAGCTGTAGGGGCAAACCCAGGTGGGACCTCGGAGGAGATCTGGGGTGACGGGTCATGGGGAGGAAGAGGGAGGACATGGAGCCTGTCCCATGGGAGAGGCACCAGGCTCCTCGGCTGCCCCCACCCAGTAGCTTTTCTAGGCCCCTGCGCAGCTGTCACCCTCCGCCCTCGCTGCCTCCCACTTCCTTTTAAGTTTTGGACTCAGTTTCTCTGACTCAGCCCCGCCCCCCTCTCTGCTGCATCCTGGGAGCCCGAGGCCACCCCTTGGCCTTGGGCAGGCACACCTGGCCTGTCCCCCCCAACCCCAGTGGTGCTACCCACTCTCCTGGAGTAGTGAAACTTAACAAATAAGAAGAAGCAGCTCTGAAGATTATAAATTGCACACTGAGAATGACACAGGCTGCAGAGGGCTGTGCAGTCCACGGCTCTTGGATCACATGTAGCAGCCTCCAAGTCCCTCCTGGCTCCCACACCCGCCCACCTCCACTGGGGCTCAGGCCAAACCCTGGGAGCTCTCACCTCACACCTCACTTTCCAGTCCAGTCCACCTGCTCCCACAGCAAGCTAACCTATCGGTTGGAGCGTCTGCCCCCTGGTGGTCAGTGTGTGTCATAGCGACTGGTTAAGCCAGTCAAACTCCCAGGGGACAATTTGCATATTAGGCTTTTATTATATAGGACTAGAGGCCCAGTGCATGAAATTCATGCACGGGCAGGAGGGGGTATCCCTCAGCCCAGTCTGCACCCTCTCCAATCCAGGACATCCCTCTCACAATCCAGGACTGCTGGCTCCTCACCATTCACCTGCCTGCCAGCCTGATCCCCTTAACTGCTCTCCCCTGCTGGCCCGATCACCCCTAATCGCCTCTGCCTCGGCCCCGCCACCATGGCTTTGTCCGGAAGGATGTCCAGTCTAATTAACTTATTACCCTTTTATTAGTATAGATATGCATAGCCCATGGACACGGGCGATAGGGTAGTGAAGACCTGGGGGTGTGGGTAGGGCCTGGAAGGAGGGGGATAAGGGAGGGGAAAATGGGAGATAACCATAATACTATCAACAATAAAAATATGTTATTAAAAATAAACAAAAACAATGTTTGCCTAGAGGTCAATACTCTAGAAATTGACAAACAGCAAATTTTTTAAAAGATTTTATTGATTTTCAGAGAGAGGAAAGGAGAGGGGGAGAAAGAGAGAGAGAGAGAAACATCAATGTGAGAGAAAAACATTGATCTGCTGCTGCCTCCTGCATGCCCCCTACTGGGGAATCAAGCCCGCAACCCTAGCATGTGCCCTTGACTGAAATAGAATCCGGGACCCTTCAGTCAGCAGGCCCACATTCTATCCACCAAGCCAAACAGGCTAGGGCCCAAGGGCCTTTTTGAAGTAGGAGAAGGAGGAGGAGGAGGAGGAGGAGCAGGAGGAGAAAGGGAACAAGAAGAGGAGAAGAAGGAAGAGGAAGAGGAAGAGAGGGAGGAGGAGGGGGAGGGGGGAAAAAGAAGAAGCAGCAGAAGCAGAAGAAGCAGAAGAATTAAAATAGGAATAATAAAATAGGAATAAGTACATATCTATCAACAATTACTTTAAATGCAGATGGATTAAATGCTTCTATCAAAAGACACATGGAGGCTGAATGGATAACAAAACAAGACCCTTACATATGCTGTCTACAAGAGACTCCTTTCAGATAAAAAACAACAACACATAGACTGAAAGTAAAGGGATGGTAAAAGATATTTCATGAAAATGGAAACAAACAAACTGGGATAGCAGTACTTATACCAGACAAAGTAGACTTTAAAACAAAGGCTATATAACAAGAGACAAAGAAGGACCCAGCAATTTCACTCCCCCCCCCCAAAAAAACACAACAAAACACTAAATAAAAAAGACATATACATCCATATGTTCATTGCAGCATTACTTACAATAGCCAAGATGTGGAAACAACCTAAGTGTTCATCAATAGATGATTGGCATATATACAATGACTCAGCCATAAAAAAAGAATGAAACCTTGCCAGATGCAACAACATGGATGGGCCTAGAGAGTATTGTGCTGAGTGAAATAAGTCAGACAGAGGAAGACAAATGCCATATGATTTTGTTTATATGTGGAATCTAAAAAACAAATGACAAACAGTATTGAAACAGACTTATAGATACAAAGATCAGATTGATAGATGCCAGAGGGGAGGGAGACTGGGGGATAGGATGATAAAGATGACAGGATTAAGAAGTACAAATAGGGGAGGCCAAGGGATTGTCAAGGGCTGGGAAAAAAAGGAGACATATGTAATACTCTTTGTAATACTTTAAGCAATAAAACAATAAAAAAAGAAAAAATATATATATAAAAAATAAAAAGAAAAAGAAGTACAAATTGGTAGTTACAAAATGATCACAGGGATGTAAAGTACAGCATAGGGAATATTGTCCATAATATTGTAATAACTATGTATGGTGTCAGATGGGTACTAGATTTATTGGGGTGATCACTTAGTAAGTTATATAATGTCTAATCACTGGGTTGTATACCTGAAAGTAACATAATATTTTATGTCAGCTATAATTAAAAAATAAAAAATTACTTAAAGTCAATAAATAGCCCAGCTGGGTGTGGCTCCGTTGGTTGAGTGTTGACCCAGGAACCAAGAGGTCATCAGTTCGATTCCCGGTCCAGGCATATGCCTGGGTTGCGTGCTGGGTCCCCAGTAGGAGGCATGCAGGAGGCACACAATAGATGATTCGCTCTCATCAATGCTTTTTCTATCTCTCCCTCTTCCTTCCTCTCTGAAATCAATAAAAATATATTTTAAAAACAAATAAAGTTAATAAACAAATAAAAGCAGCCTTTCTTTAGTCTGGAGTGTTTTGGCTTCCTCAGGATATTGCATCTCCACAGTTTGCAAACTGTTTACCTGAATAAAGTTTCTCCTTTTACTGCACCCCAGATTGGGGACCCCTGTTGATATTAGATTGGTGGCAGTGACTTTTTGTTGACAAAATGTAAGTGGTACAACTACTTTGGAAAACAGTTTGACAGGTGTTTGGTTGTTGTTTTTTTATGATAAATATACAGTGCCCACATGATCCAGCCACTCCACTTTAGGTACTTACCCAAGAGAAAATGAAAGCATAGATCTATACAAAGACTTCTACACAGAAATTCATAGCAACTTTGTAATAGCCAAATCTGGAAATAATATAAACATCCATCAACAGGTGAATGGATAACAAATTGTGGTATATATCCATATAATGGAATACTATTAGCAATAAGCTATGAATGAACTATCAATATGCACAACAACATAAATTAACTAATTATGCTGAATGAAAGTAGCCAAGCGTCTCAGCCAGACAGGGACCATCTCAGTCTCACTGGGACCGTCTCAGCCTCACTGGGACTGTCCCAGCCTCACTTGGACAGTCTCGGCCTCACAGGGACCGTCTCAGCCTCACTGGGACCGTTTCAGCCTCACGGGGACTGTCTCAGCCTCACGGGGACCGTTTCAGCCTCACTGGGACCATCCCAGCCTCACTGGGGCCGTTTCAGCCTTACTGGGACCGTTTCAGCCTCGCTGGGACCATCTCAGCCTCACAGGGACTGTCTCAGCCTCACAGGGACCGTTGTTTTAACTTTTTGTTAAAATTTATTTTATTGATTTCAGAGAGGAAGGGAGAAGGAGAGAAAGATAGAAACATCAGTGATGAGAGAGAATCATTGATCAGCTCCTGCACGCCCCCCTCTGGGGACTGAGCCCATAACACTGGTATGTGCCCTTGTCTGGAATCAAACCTGGAACCCTTCACTTGCAGGCCAATGCTCTATCCTCTGATCCAAACAAGCCAGGAAAAGATTTTACCTTTAATTTCAGTTTCCTCCTCAGCAGAATGGGATTAAAGGGTGTAGGGAAGTTCAAGGGATGATTACAAAGGTGCAAATTAGATTATGCATATTAACAAGGTTAGTCCCCGGTAACCTTCTTATTCCCCTGGAGGAATAAGAGGAGATCACATCAAACAGACTTCTGAACATCCTCCTACCCCCACCCTGGCCCACGTGTCTCACCTCCAGGGAGGAGGCTTTG